AAAAAAAAATCTTATCTTGATTTTTTTTAATCTATCAGCATTTTATTTCTCATGCCCACAATTAAAATACCATAAAATGAAAGGACTTTTTGTTAGTTTACATTAGCTACATGTTTCATTTAATTTGTTTATAATATTATAGTATTGTGACTTTAGTCCAATAATTGGTCGTATCAATGCTGAACATCTCTATTGGAGCCGAAGGGTCCCTATTTTGGTCATTGGAAGTGCCTAACAGCACATACAATTCGATTTGACATTTTAAAAACTGTGAACTATTTGTGTGCTCCATATAATAGCACTTAACCTTTTTGAGGTTGATTGATGGTATCATGGTACAAAGGGTTTTTTTTTTTGTGTGATCATGTGATCACAACTGTGTTAAATTACATATGTAATTTATAGTATTTTTGGAGTTTTGGTTTTTCCATTTTTATGAGAATATAGATAGATATTATATAAACAAGTACGGTTTTGATGTGGAGTCATCCGATGGCTCTATAGAATTTCTGTAAGTCTGTAATATCTTATATCAGCGATCAAACACCTACGGTGAAATTATAAATATCATTCCTGTTTAGAATACTGTCATAGGGTTTCATACCTTAAAATAATAATAATAATAATAACTAGTACAACACCCGTGTAGTACACGGGTGCATGAATAAATAACCTGAACCAAAAAAAGTAAAAGAATTTGGTATTGTAATATATACAAAATAAATAAATAAATAAATAAAATCGTTAGAATATGTTGTTAGAATCTCGTTACAAATTCAATTGAAGATTTTGGAATATGAAGAAATTTGTTGCCATATATTTGCAAAAAAATTGGGTAACACTGTTAACTCAATTATCAAATAAAAAAATATAAAAAAAAAAATTAATTATCAAACGAAATATTGTTAACTCAAATAATCAAATAGAATAAACATTGTTAACTCGACAATGATCCATTGTCAAATAAAAGACCCATTGTTAACTCATCAATTATTAAATTCTAGTGATCTTTAGAATGAAAAAATAAAATAAGGAAAGAAAAACTTGTATGTGATTATCGGAAGGCAATGATGTAGGGTGAAAAAAAAAATATATTTATAGCACTTTTCAAACCAATTTTGTTTTCAAAATTTTTATCCGAACCTAAATACAAATCATGATATTGTGACATGTAGAATTTCAAAGCGTGCGAGTCTGCCACTTAGGCTCAGCACGTTTTGAATTAATATATAGTGGGGATGAGGATTGTATATTCTTATATCAAGATTTTTATATAAATCAAAACATCAAATATATGTATCTTATTGTTTGATTTTTAAATCAACTTTTACATCCAAAATTATGGAGATGCTACAGTCTCATTACAAGACCATTCCGTCAGGATTTGTAACCGTCAGATCATCATGTAACCGTTGCGGATAGTTGATCTAACGGTTATAAACCCCGACAGAACGGTTCTGTAACGGGACCATAACATTTTTCTCAAAATTATTCACACATTACTCGAAGGGAAAAAAAAAATCTAATCTTCGCCCAAAAAAAAAAGATGGAAATATCATAATTTGAATAATATTATTATTATCATTATTCAATGTAATTTGCATGAGGGGCCTCTTGCATTTCTTTTACCAAAAAAGAAGGGATCCGTACGAGAATCCCGCATTCTACGGTCAACCCAATTTGACGTGTTTTGGCGGGTGGGTCCGGCGATCTGTGACCCGGCCTGGACCCGATGCCCCTGACCGCCAAAACCCACGTGCACCACTGCCTTTCATGTCGGCACCCATTTCCCCATTTTCACCATATATATGTTTATTTATGACCAATAAACTCGTAGCCTTGTTCGGTAATCAACGGTCTAACAGTTAGGATCGGTAATCATGGATTAATGAGTTTTAAATGAATTATATAGTAAATAAAATTAAGTTTATGCAAGTGCCAGGGCCCTTGTTGGATACAAATTATCTGATCACTTTGGACTAAATATTTTTTTTTTAAATTAAAATTTAATTCAAACTAAATCTCATCAACATTAACAATATAGTTGAATAATATCAATTAATCATTCTCACAGATCACATCAATTTTTATTTCACTATACATCAACTTACATAATATTAACTATCTATTACTTTCAGTCATCTATCTCTTTTACAGCAAATCAATTTTAATGATTATATATTGAATATTATTTTAATACAAACTCAAAACTCTACTCAAAACTAACTCAGTCTACTTTTTTAAAAATCAACTCTAGTTATTCAAAAATCCAACGGGCCCATGTTAAACGGGCCTGTAACCGAGCCTGTGGTTTGAGCAGGCCGGTTCTGGGCCAAAAATATGTGCTTTTTTAACTGTCGGAATCGGCGATTTGGCCCTTTTTTCCCTTTTTTTTTATTATTTTATTATTTTCTTTTTTTGGTGAATTGGGCCAGCCTAGAACTGCCGGTTCTAGGGGGAGCAACACTTGGCCTGGAATTCGACCTAAAACCGGGTTTGGCCATGTCTAGCTCCAATGTCCAGCGCTTCCAACTTTAGCTTTTTTTCCCCTATCCATCAAGCAAAAAAGTTATTTTACCATACTTTTTTATTAGCTGTTTAATTTGGTAAACAAGTTGTGCTTTTGTCCCCCTATCTATCAAGCAAAAAAGATATTTTACCAAACTTTTTTTATTTGCTGTTTTATCTGGTCAAAGGAGTAGGGTTGTAAACAAATCAAACATTTTTTATTCGATTCGTGATTCGAATTCGATATTCGTGATTCGAATTCGAAATATTCGAATTCGAATTCGAATTCAAATGATGTTTTAGATTTGAAATTATAACGAATTCGAATCGAATGTGTAGATATTCGATTCGAAATTCGAATATTCGATTCGTTAACAATAATTATATAAATTTTACAAATTATACATAATATACATTTTGTTTATAATATATGTATATATATATTGTTATATTCCTAATATTTTTATGACATAAAAAGTAAAAACATCATAAATTAACAAATTTTTCTAAAAATATATGAAAAATAAAATTTATTTTTGTAATTATAATATTTTTATATAAATTATATATAATATACATTTTGTTTATAATATATGTATATATATTGTTATATTCCTAATATTTTTATGACATAAAAAGTAAAAACATCATAAATTGACAAAATTTTCTAAAAATATATGAAAAATAAAATTTATTTTTGTAATTATAATATTGTTTAATTATAATATTTTTTTTGAAAACGAATTTCGAATCGAATCGAATATGTTTGAATATTCTAAACGAATCGAATATGAATCAAAAAATGAATTCGTTATCGAATCGAATCACGAATCGAATCTTCGAATATTTTAAACGAATCGAATCGAATCTCTGGGTATTCGCTTTGATTCGATTCGTTTACAACCCTACAAAGGAGTTTGATATAATGTTTTGCCACAAAACGCTGCAAACCACACGCATTCAATACTAATTTTTTTAGCAATGCATATGATTATGGCTGCAAACGAATCAAGTGAATAGCGAGAGCTCTAATCAAAGTTTAGTCCAGGTCAAATTTGACCGAGCACCAATCGAACTTCAACTAGAGTCGAAATCGAGCTTTTATGTTAACAATGTAGTAACTGGTTGATGAGACCCTCGAGTAAAAACATAACTTAGTTAAATACAATAACTCGAGCTAAATCAAGCCAAAATAAAGAAAAATTTTTATTTGAATCATTTTTCTGTATTTAAAATTGGAGTCAAGCTCGAGCAAAATTCGAATCGAGAAGACTAATGTTAAAAAAGTTTGAGTCAAACTCGATAAGGCTAATGTTTGACTTAGCTCGTCTGGTTCGAGCCCTAATCTTGATTCATAGATACAAAGCAGTTAAAATCCAGTGGCTTTTTATTTATTTGTTTATAGCTCGTCACAAGGAAACTTGTTTCTCCAACTCTAAAATAAATCTCCTATAAATCACAGATTATTATGTACATAAATTAAAAAAAAAAAGTTACAAACGTAAAACTCGACGACCCATATTTGCGCAACATCATGGTTAAGCAGCATTGATCAAGATGGTGCATCCTCGTCATCACTAAGGAGAACGAACGCATTTTGAGCTTGCGATTTTAAAATTACCTCATTTTGTTTTTCGAAATTAGGTCGGGCATTTTCTGAAATTTTAATGCCAGAATCGGGCTGGGCCTTCTGCTTGACCCAGCTATGGATTGCTTTCAAGTTTCCTTCTAGGGCCTCGACAAGGAGGTCCAATTCGGCAATTTCGTACCTGAAGAAGAAGCGCTTGGAAGTCCAAGGACATGAGCAGAGCTGCTTCGAGTGGCGAAGGCACGCATATTTGTTCGGGCAACACGAACACTTTACGGCCGAGAGGTACAAGTCGTATGAGCATATGGTACAATCGACTTTAGAGGTGGCGTCGAGTCCATCGAATGCACTCGATTGGGCCATATTGCATAGGTATTTCCACCTTACACGTTCGTCTCTAACGCGCTCCTGACCAATCACAGACCAAAAAGGAAAAAAAAAAAAAGGAAATAAGTACAGAAATAATGATAATAATGAATATAATTTGAGGGCAAAATTGCATTTTTTGTCATGCTAATTTAACGTCATGGGCTCATGGCAATCTTAGTCCCAAGGTTCCAACATTTTGCTTTTTGATACTGTGATTTAATATTTTATTGCCATTTCAGTCCTCTGAAGATTGAAATGGCAACAAATTCCCAAATTTTCGGTTAGCAACTCGAGTCCTGTAATTTAAAATTTTGTTGCAATTTAAGTCCTATAGTTTATTTATTTATTTATTTATTTATTTTTGCAATTTCAGTCATTTGAGGAGTGAAATTGCAGCAAAATATTAAGTCACAAACCAAAAAGGCGAAAAGTTTAAATCTTGGGACTAAATTGCTGTGACCTTAAACCAACAGGACTAAAAATGCATTTTTTGTCTAATTTGAACGAATCTCGTTATACACCAAGTAAGCAAATTCACGTACCTTAACGGCATTTGTTAAGATTCCATTCTTCCCACTGGCACTAATCCACATTTGATTTTGTACGGTTTTGTTCTTCAGTGCAAAAGATTCCCATTGGGCGTTCACAGCTTCTTTCGCTGCTCCTATCAACAACTTGTCTTGAGAGATTGAAGTCTTGAAACATTTTCCGGCATAAAGTTCGACAATTTTCAGACCATGTGGTAACCAGTCAAAAGGAGCAAAACGAACCGTCTCGGCTAAATTAAAGCCGCAACTAAATTCTGTGTGGAAAGCTCCAGGGAAAGTAACAACGAATTCCATGGGATTTTGTACACAATGGTACACAGGTATGCCTTCGGACACTAGCACTGATAGTGGGAGTTGAGGGACCTGACAAAATAATTTACATGCAAATTTCTTATAAAAAGCGGTAACTTTACGTTCGAACTCATTTTCATGTAAAAATATAAAAACGGCTCCTAAAATAGATTTGCCTCAGCATCTATGTCTTTTTTATTATTTAATAAAAATAACACTACTCACGAGCTTGTGGGGAAAATCGGGATGTTTTGCGAGCTCCGGGTGTAGCTTTTTCAAAACTTCGACAAACTTGAAGGTGTATTCGAATGGGATGCCGTAACATACTTTAGGTTCACCCGAGTGCAAATATGATATCGAATACAAGTGGTGATCTTCAGTCCTCTGTTTTACCGTCATATCAAACGAGCGGAGAAAGGGTGATGGATTATACGAGGAAGGAAAAAACGTTTGCCAAAGAAAAATGAGCGTAAGTTCCAATACATTCTAAATCTTACCCAACATTGTGATGCAAAGCACATCCCAATGAATAATTGAGGAACTAAAACTGCAGAAGAAGTTTTGTAGCATCCGAATGGAAGAAGAGAACCTGGGAGCTTTGGGATATTATTCAAGTTCCACTCAGACTTCTCATATTCATCATATTTAGCCACTTCTTTAGTTGTATTGGTTGAGCTCGAAAACTCACCACAGAGCACCTAGAAAAAATAATAATAAATTTCACGCAATGCGGGAACTGATGAAAAGAAACTTAATTATACTAATTTAATTTAATTCAACCTAATGTTTGCACTTTTCTACCTTTACTTCTACATTTGGCTTCTCAATTATTCGCCAATATTCGCCTTCGATTATTGCAGAAACCAGCGGGCCCTTGCCATATTTACGGAAATACTGAGCTTTGAAATCATTGGCACACTTTTTAAAGCTTTCCAGGGTGAACTCAGGCCCTTGTTCGAATTCAGATAGTTTTTTATTCGCATACAGATTCTGGAGCCCATCGATTTTCTGAAAATGAGTGGTGAATTTCGAGCCACACCACGTTTTAGTTTCTTCGAGAAGGGAAGAAGGAGGAGGAACAATTCGGCATACCCCGTAATTCTCCGCCGTTGGGCGAATTTTGGCTATGTATTTGAGAGTGTCCTTGAATTCCTACCATAAAATTCAAGCAATTTACACTTGAACAGAATGCACAGAAAAATATTGTAACAGATATGAGCAAAAGAAAGAATACCTCTCGAGTTGGGTAGAAAATTGGAGCATCACTGAGTGAAGGCAAAGATGACTCGTTGCGTTGCCACCGAGCAGTGACCTACGAGGTAATCCATTCAGACAGTTTTATAAACAGAAAAATTTACTGCAATTAGTGATAATTAATTATTTAGCCATCAACACAAATATAACTAAGAGAAATATTGAATTAACCTTCACGCAGTCATGACAATTTGCACATCCCCAAATAGTCCCTTCTGGAAGACGAACACTAACTGAATCTTTCTGCGGAGGAGAACTCACCTAATTCATTTTGATCCATTCATTTAAAGAGAAAAAAATGTCAATAATAATAATAATAATAATAATAATAATAATAATATATAACAAAAATAGGAGAAAAAGACCAATCACACTTACATCATTCCTATCAGTTTCTTGAAAGTTTTTAAACTGGTCGTAACAGATCCATGGTCTCTGCCTGAATGAGGCTTTGAATTTTTCGATTTCGATATTTCTAAGAGGAGTATCTACTGAACCTGCTCTCGATTTTTTATCTACAGCCATAAGATCGTCAGCCTTCCGACCCATAAACTTCCTTTTCAATGTAAAAGATGTGAGAGAAACAAATCCAGGCGGTACTGCAAGGTCTTCTTCAGCTTTCTTCTTCGCATGACTTGAAGACCGTTTTGTCCTCATCACTTCTCATGAAGAACTGTGATCTAAAATCTCATAAAGGATAAATCACAACCAGAGGGGCAAAGACCGAATAATCACTTCGCAATCCGCTGCAGAAAAGGAGGAAAATGGAGAAAAAAAAAAAAAAAACTTTAATCAGACAAAGAAAATGGGGATAAACTAGGGCAGTAATCACAAAAAAAATATTGATCATATCACCGGTTGATTAGTTTGAAGCTACATGAAAGGCTGAAGCAATTAGAACTTAGATGTCATAAGAAAAAAAGGTATCGATTTGGATTGACTAATACGAAGCTAAGGATCTCAAATTCATAGGAATAAATCCAAACACTTCCATACAAACTCAACCTAAGAAAACACTAGACTCATGCCCAGCACTCAAACTGAAATTAGCTAGACAAATTGAAAGCAAAAGAAAAAAAGAAAAAAAAAAATGCAGAGTCTTTGTATTTTCTCCCCAATTGACGAACAATCGAACAATTACATTGCTCTGAAACATGAAATGGATCAACACATACAATTGGGTGAGTAGAAGAAGCTTCCAGAAACTCAATTCAGATGACATTAACCGTGCACACTTCTATAAAATAGCAAAAAATCTCCATGCAATGAACTATATTTTTCCAACTTTTACAAGATTAGATCCATTACACACTCGTACAAACATGACATCGCACCCTAACATATCAACCCAGAAAATCAAGTAAAACAGCTTTCTACTTATCTCAGCAACATCAAATCACAACATTACAATTCACACACACGGACCCAGGAAAGAATTAAAATTAGAAACAAACACTTTACTCGTCTTCACCAAAAAAAACAGTGAATTTTAAAGCTAAGGATCTCAAATTTCACAAGAATAAAATCAAATCACCCTGAGTAGAGCTGTTAGAAGCCATGAAAACACTCTTGTCCAGCACTCAGCACCGAAACTAACATGGCAAACTGATAGCAAACAATTTAACAGAGACTTTGCGTATTCTTCCCGATTGACGAAATATCGAACAATTACATTGCTCGAAAACATGCAATGGATATCAATACACACAATTGGGTCATCAGAAGAAGCTTCCAGAAACTCATTTCAGATGACATTTATCAGTGAACACTTCTATCGAATAGCCGAAAACCTCCATGCAAGATTAGATCTACTACATACTCGTACAAATAGGAAACTCAGCAAAACACACAGCCCAGCAAATCAAAGCACACAGTTTTCTACTTGTCTCACAACATCACACAGACCCAAAAAGAAGTAAAATTAAGAAAAAAATAAAAAAAAAAAAGAACTTTACTCAACAAATCAAGTAAACAGCTTTCTACTTATCTCACAACATTACACACACATACCCAAGAAAGAATTAAAATTAAAAAACAGAACTTTACTCGATTTATAAAGCTCGTATGGCGCCCATCAGCTTGCGAACTCCGAATTTGAGTGAGCAACACTTGCGCACGGTCCCTGGATTATTGATGCCGACGAACGACTCACAGTAATTCGATCGGGGAGAAGTTGATCTGCAGTAAAGATGAGTGTGCATTACCGTACTCTGTATGATGGAATCGAATTTTATGCTAGATCCCTTGTGTGTTTTCGAGAACTGTTTTATTGTTGACCAAATATAGGGAACGCTATAGTCGCTTACGGAACTATTTCATTTTTGTAGTCGTGAGATCAACTATTCTCGTCTTTGTAATCGTTATATCAACTATCCTCGGTGGTTACATGATAAAGTAACGAATACAAATTTGGACGGAAATGGTTTTCATAAGGAGACTGGAGCATCTCCCCAAATATATGTTGGCCATATAAATTTTTAAATTTGACAATTTGTCCCCCAAATACAAGAAAATAAAATTTGCACTCGCAATTAAAACCTAACTTGATGCAAAAAAGTTTTTAAATGACAATTTGCTCTTTCCATTTAAAACCTAAATTGATGCCAAAAAAAAAAAATTAAGTCAATAATCGATGTATTTTACGACGAATTTCAAAAATTCAACTTAGGACTTTGAAGATTTTTAGGAGACAAACAAAATGAGGTATGATTTAATCTAATTTAACAAATCGAATTATTGAAGTAAATTAACGATGAGTTTTGAAACGAACTTTAAAATCGACTTGGGACTATTGAAGAACACGATGAGGCAAAACAAAATGAGGTATAATTAATTGATTTTCGATGCTTGATTCATCAAAAATCGTTCAAGGAAAAAGATAGATGACGAGTAAGTCGATTTTAAAGTTTGTCAATCGAGATTTGTCGTCTATTTTTAAAGTTTTTGGATTTTAAAGCAAAAGATAGATGACAATTTGTTGTTTGATGAATCAGAATATCGAATTTTCAATCGAGATGTGTCATTGAAAATCTTATAAGATGAGTTTTCAAAATCTTAATTTGTGTTTTTCAATGTTGAACCCCGGTGATTCTAAGTTTTACTGTATATTTGTCAATGTAGTACTTGTAATTTAGAGTCACATCATTATTTTATCCATTGTAATTCTCGATTGGTCAATACTTTAAACTGTCTTCTTTGAGGATTCATGTGTAAAAAGAAAAATAACCAATGGCAAATAAAAATGTTATTATGTTCTTAAAAATAAAATGACATTAATTTGTAATAACAAAGATGGAAAAGAAAAAGAAATAGACAACGATATGGAACTTGGATAGGTACAAAGAAATATAATTAGAAAATCTTCTCATTTGGGATTTTTAAAAAATATTTATGTTTCTTATTTTTTTTCTAATATACAAATATTTTATCATTGGAGCGAACTAATCTATAACCATATCTGTTAATTTTATATATTTCAAATAAAATGAACTTTCAGATTAGATAGTAATAAATAATTTAGTTGTAAATTTTTTATAAGTTTTATATAAAATTATTGATATCACAAAAATAGAAATAGATTAGATAGAGATAGAAATAATTATTTGGTCAAAAATTTAAAAAAACTAATCAATATATTTAAATTAATTATTAATATCAAATTACTTAACATAAAAATTAAAGTTCCACGTCGGATAGTAAAGAAAATTAAGAAAGTTAAAAGAAGTGGTTGAGTTAAAAATGTTTGGATTTTTTTTAAAAACTTTTGTATCCAAGCATAGTCTAAAGGGGCCGAGTTTTGTAAAAATTGAGTGTGGGAAATTTTAAGGAGATGCATGAGGAGGGGTGTTATAACCTTATGCAACTACTTTTGATATTGGGAATAACTCGTTCGAGAGGTGGGATGGTGTGAAAGGGTTGATGTGAAAGATGAATTAACAGTCGGAGTCGGGGTTGGCTGTGGAATGTAGTGACGCACATAACGCTCGTGGATATTTATGGGCAGTCGGTGTGGAATCGAGTGCTTGGAAGAGATAGAGGAGCTGAGACCCACACCGATGCTGATCAATGCTTTCGCAAAGAGTATGTTTTAGGATACTCTTGATATAATAATGTGATCTTGAGCTAAAACTTGTGTTTTGTTGGAATTTTTTTTTCTTTTTTTTTTTCGTTCAGTTAATCA